GGAAGCAACACAGTTGACAGTCATTTAAATGATAACCTTGCTTGTAGAGTGGGTCTTGGTCTTGGGGTGGGAGGGTTATGGAACAAGTCTGCCCTGGACTCAGACCATCTGCTCTGAGCAGGACCACCTCTGGTTGCTTTTCTTCCTCACTCAGCTCAGTAGCAAAACACAAGATCGTCATGCTTCCGTGCAGAGAAGTGTGCAGTCAGGATGGTGGGGCAGAGGGAAGGCCCTGCACTGCCTCCTGCCCAGTAGTCCTCTCTGTCCCATCCAGCTCACCTTGGCTATAGATGTGACCACGTCCTTCCTGACACTAGATGCGCCCAGCCCACTGCAGCAGGTGCCATCCCTCCATCCCCACCCTCCCTGCCCATCACTTGACTTTCTGTGTTTGCCCCTTGGCCCAGGAAGAGCTTCAACTCTCTGAAGGAGGGACCCTGGGGACAGTAGCTTCGAGGCCCAGTGTATGACATAATACCATGTCACAGGGTGCTGATGACCTGAGCCCTCTGAGCCAGCGGGCAGCACTCCTGGGCTGTGTTGATTGGATGGGTGCCCCTACTCTAGCATAGAGTCCCAGGCGCCATGGGCCTGGTGCTGGGCACACCTCTCAGGGGCTGGGGATGTAAGCACAGGGCCCAGCAGTGCCCTCCAGGCTGACAGCAAAGTCCCAGTTCCCCCAATTCCTTGTCCTCTTTAATTTACTGACTTTGATAGAATAGGCCATAGCTCATGGTGCCCACAAGGGAGGCTCCCTGTCTAGGTAACTGCTGGGTGACAAGGAAGGCTGCTGCTGGCGAGAGTCTAGAGTGTGGGTGTTAACCGCACATGCCTTGTTTCCAGGCCACGGTTGCGAGGAAGAGCGTGCTGGTGGTGCGCCACGGAGAGAGAGTGGACCAGGTCTTCGGGAGGTTGTGGCTACAGCAGTGCTCCACTCCAGACGGTAGGTGGAGCCCCGGCGGTCTGGGGATGGAAGCACTGTAGGCCCCACAAATGATACAAGAGACCCCCTCACAATTTCCCAGTGCCCTGGGGCACTGCCCTATAGGTTGACCGTGTGGAGACCCCGTAAGTGGGATCCACACCTGCTACGTTTCTCCAGAGCATGGGGGTCTGTAAGCAACTACTCTGCAGAAGGTGGGGGGATGGCTGTGGATCGCAAGTCACCCTGCCAGTGCACCCCTGCAGTGATGCCACACTGACTTAGAGCAGGGCACCTTGAGCCACTGGCACATGCTGTGTCTCTGTCTCATCCCTGGATCTCTCCAGGCCAGGCCTGACTGCCGGAGGTCTCAGCTGTACTGCTGGACAGGTGGGTGAGTCAGAGGTCATGTCTCTGCATGCCCCACTTTACCTAATTAAAAGCCAAAAACTTAGAGCAGTGCTTATGAGTGACTGACACTCGAGCCAGTCTGTGCTAACGAACCACGTCCATGTTCACATCCACGCATGTCTCGTGACAGAAGGCCTACAGTGACACAATTCTCATGGTACCATGGCTCATTGTATAAATTAGGTACTGACCACACTGATAAAACCCGTGTGCACCTGATGAACCCTCCTGGGATCCCTCCAGGAGCCCAGCAAGCCCCAGAAAGGGACAGAGAAGGAAGAAAACCATGGTGGGTGATAAGCACACGTCAGAAATACTCTGAGCAGATAACATGGCCAAACACGCCTCCGGTACATGCAGGGCTGATGATGTCGTCAGTCGTCTCCACAAAACAAGATGGAGGAGAGAGACATGAAGGTCTAAGAAAGAAGCAGTGAGA